ACAACTCCTCCCCACCAAACGACAAGCCAGTACCAAGACGGGCCGTTTGGATGTGGGTCGCTATGGACTGCGTCGCGTGGACTATTCGACGCCACCGCCCCGTTGGCCCATGCCCGTTCATCCACCAGGTCCCACCGGATGGAGAAAATTTGTCTTTCCAGTTTCCTTGACACTAACAATGATGCTTTTTGGGTACATTTATACGCATCAAGAAGACGATATTCAAGATTATTGGAGGGCTGTTGATGCTGGACATGTGCCTCTAGGAGACGACGACGACGATGATGACGACGACGATGATGACGACGACGATGATGATGACGACGACGATGAGGAGGACGATGATGACGAGTAAGCGCGGAAGAAAACAGGCTTGGAGTTTCTAAACGTAGAAGAAGCATGTGACAATCAGCAATCACCTAAGCACACTTGCTTGGGCCAATAGAAGCGACGATTGAGTGGCTGGATAAAGCAACCAAGAGGTGTTCCTTTTTTAAAGAAAAACTGTTGAGTTGAGAAGCAATGGAAGCCGATCACTGCGACGCAAAATAGAGAGATTTCTACATCTGGGAATTTTTGGAATTGCACCTTTCTGCCTCAGTTTAGTGAAGAAAGTTCTGTAATATCGTGACTCCAGCCCAGTTGTTCTGGAAAGGAGAGTCTGACTAGTTGTATTTGAGATGGACGGAGAAGCCATCTGGGAAGGTGAATCTGGGTTTACAGTGGGGAAGCAATGGATGCCTATTCAGGAAAGCCACTGTTTGTTTCAGCATTGAAGGCATTGCTACCACTTGATTCCAAAACAGTACTTCCCACACTTTCTGCCATTCCTGTCAGCCACCTTCTGCATAGCAAGTTGGATTTGTACCAGAGATTAGCAATCAACCGATCGCTTCGCCTTCCTTTCCAGCTCCGGTTGCAATCGTCCAGATAATCTGGTTAGCTGCTCACTCTAATTAGAATATTCCTTGTTGCTTCCCAGCATGATGGGCTCACCAAATTTTGCAAAGTCATCTTCTCGATCGCCCGCCAATCTGCAATTCTATATCATTTGTTTTGTTGTTTCGGATTTCTCATTCTTCACGCATTCATCCCGTGGCCACCACGGTAGGTACCGGTGGCATGCAGGCCAGCCTAGCTAGCTTTCAACTACAGGGTTAGAGTTGTAGACAATAATCAGCCAGCTGTTGCAGTGTCTGAGATGTTGATGGTGCGGAAGTCAGTTGGTTGCTGACGATGGCGCGATGTACGATGACGTTTTAGAGTTTGGTCGCTCTTCCCGTGCTGATTCGGTAGAGGCCAGCCCCCAATAGAATTGGAACGCTTTCTTTGCTAACCATCCTGGCAATCACCACGCCACTCTAGGAGCTAGCTAGCTTGTCGACCGCCCATGGCCGTGGAACAAAACACATCAGACTGACTTGATCGAGGCGAGTCGAGTCCTTGGTTGGTCGACTGAAGTAGTGAAGGCTGAGAGATTCGGCTCTTGAATGGTGTGAAGTGGATCTTTTGGAAAAGCAAAACAGATTCAAGCGGTTGTTGGATACCAAACTTTTAAAAATACAATTTATAGCCATAACAATAATGATCCTCTAGAGTTCCCTTCTCAAAAATGTGCCAAGATTAGTTTTATGGCTATCCTCTGAAAGCAGCCCTAAAAGTAATTATGCACTATGAAGTCTCAACTGCCGGGAAGCAAGCAGCTGAGAATTATTGTTCCTTTCTCTCTGGAAGAGCGAACAGTATGAACTTGTTTCCATCTTCCATTCCATTTTGAGCTGCAAGGACTGAACTTTTCCACATCCACACTCAGCACCAGTGTTGAGCCCCAAAAAGCCCAAGCTCCTGTCACAAGAGATCCTCCAGCTTGGCAGTCTCTTATGTTTGATTCTTGTTTACTTCCATTACTCTTCTTCCGATCTCTTACTCCCACACATCGTCAAAATCTTCATCATCCGTCCAGTAGTCGTTGTTGTAGTCTCCAACTCGGCTAACAATCGACTCTAGAATTTCTTGATTGACCAGCTCGTGCATTTCCCGAGCCGCCTTTTGACCCATGCGAATGCTCTGGGCGTAGTGAAGATTCCAACTGTTGGGTCGAGCCCAGACTTTTTCCAACCACAAATAGGCAATGGGTAGCAACATGATATCGGCCGTCCCATCGCGGTCGGAGATATTGCAGCGTACTAATTGCACCAAACAGGCTGGACTGGATGCCCTAAAGGGCTGACGGTTGGCGTGAATAAAAATGGGAGCAGGACGGTTTCCAATGGTGGTGAGTCCTCCCTTTTTGGCCTCTCGGGGGTATCCCTGTAGCAATTGTGCCACCAACAAACGGTAGCGAGGTTCAAACAAGTGCAATCGGTAGGAAAGGCCCAACATGACATGTCCAGGCATGTAGAAAACTGGCAAGACCTGTCGAATATATTCCGACACGACGGTACGGTAGATCTTCTTGTAGGACGCATTGCCCAGGGCTTCCCGCACTCGTTCCAAGAGATCGTCAGGAGTGGTCTCACCGGATAAGAGAGCATTCTGCCACGCTTTCCTGTTCTTGACCAAGCTGACCAATCCCTCGGACCAGAGACTGGGTTCTCGCTGTAGCTGCCTCAGAATGGCAGGCTTCCACAAACAATCGTGTTCCGACATTTCTTGCCAAAATTTGGAAACACCCGGGAGGAGTTGCGTGAGCTCGGAATCGCCAGGGTTCTTGGAAATTTTTTCAAGTGGAGCATGGGCGATGTAGGAAAAGATGGAGAGAACGGCATCTTCACCGAGCACTTCAAAGCGGTCCTCCTCCTTGCTGGGTACCATCAATTTTTTCTTGCTGCTGTGAAGGTTCTTGCTGCCTTCCTCGCAGACCATTGGGGCAACAACCTCAAGACTCATGGTTGGGTTTTCGAATAAAATTCACTAGCAACTAGTACCTGAATGGGCTTGATGGGTGGCCAAAGTGCTGTGATGTGAGCAGAGGATAGAGGCAAGAATCGCCTCACCGTGTGGAAGAAACGAAGATGCACTGTTGTGGCAGGCAAGTGACAGAAATTCTTTGGAAGCAGCATTGCACCAGCAATGCGATGATGCGATGATGGCTGATGTTTCGATGAATGAGGCGTGGTCGGCGTTGACAGAAGCAGCACCAGACTTCAACTTGTACATACGAAGCTCAGTACTGAAATCCTTCTGCTCGCCTATTGGTTAGGAACTCATGCGTTTGACCAAGGAAGTGGTGGTAGGTGGACGTATCGGCCAAGAGCCATTGAAACATGGGTATCCACATCGCTGCATTTTTGGAGATTGATTTTTGTACACCACATAGTCTTCAACGTAGCTATGTGATTGGTACAGTCTACTGTATCTACTCAACGGATATATTCCAACAGTATAAAATACATTCCCATTTGACGACATTAGAAGCGATTGCTTGGAATGGGCTCGATCTTCCAAAGGCCTTCGACACGACAGCAAAGCACCACGCATCTTTGCTTTAGTGCCAATGTGACAATGGTTTCAGCAACTTTGACATGACGTGTCTGCAAACTTCTCTTTTTCACGGAAGGTTCTCTTAATTAAAATTGTGCACGAATGCTTCAGCTTGCACTTTGGACTTAACAAAAAGGGTGGAAACAGTGTGATTGGGGAAGGGGAAGTCTAGCTAATAGTGAAAAAGTAAAGCCACAGAGCTGCAATGTACTTTTAAACTTGGCAAAAAAGCCAAGCTCGCGGGAGCCGTACTGGTACCGACAGCACCGCTCATGATTGAAACCATGACAGTTGGGTTTTGAAAGAAAAAAGATATCTAACCTGATAGGTGCCGGTAAGCTACCTTTGGTTACTTACCACAATACATGTAATGAGAACTTCTTCAGGAGTACCGGTAGCACTAGTACAGAAGAAGATTTTTTTTAACACTGGCGTTGAGGATAGTTATTGAGGATTTTCATCCTCGTGGTTGGACACTCCAAACAACAAAACTTCGCTAGCTAGAGGTTGGAGCCCTGTAGAAAACTCTTGGAGATATCTCATCACCATCTTGCAACTCTGTGGTCGTCCAAGAGTCGTCAGTGGGCGGAAGAACACTGTCTGTAACAGGTGCTGAGAAACTTTCGAACTGCTGATCTCTCTTGCACTACGCTAAAAGCTAGTGTAAAGATCTTTCGAGTGTTTTGAGTTTGAGAGAATGAAAGTTATGA